AAAATTTAAAGTATCTAGTTTGATATATATATATATATATATATAAACACTTGCATTAATTTGCGGTTAAAAATAATATACTTGAAATGTATCAAAAATAAATTTAATTTTACAAAATTATTATTATCGAGTAAAATAATATACATCAACAAATTACATATGGTACATAATATATTAATTATTCTAGAACTAAATTAAAGTCACCGAAACACATATTAATTATTTGAATTTATATTCTACGTCTCTTAAAATATTTGTGTAATTATTAGTAAAAATAAGGATATATTAGATAACTTAGTATAAAAAAATGGGGGCATTGAAGTTAAAAAAGCATGCAATGTTAAAATCCTCGGCACCTCAAATTTCCCTCATTTTGGAAGGAAATTAAATACCTATGTTTTAAAGTAATTTAATGTATTAAGACATTTGAGATTTTTTAGAATTTGAGACATATTGCTACATTGCTTCACCAAACACAAAAATTACTTGATTTATCAAACAACTTTCATCCCTATACCAAACACCCCCTTAATTTTTTCAAAGAGTTTTTAGTAGACTGTTGCTGGAACGACTAGGACTTCTTCAAAAAGGAGGCATTGTTTCCATAAATAGAAAGGTTCTTGTTTCGATTAATTAATTAATTAATTAGTACTAATAATTAATCCAACCAGCAGGAGCATGGTTAGGCAGTCTTGACCAGCTGAAAATACCTGCACAGAATGCTAGGCCGGTTCCCCACGTTGTCGCCGGGATAGATCTAGTCTTGGCTTTTTCTTTTTTTTTTTTTTTTTTTTTTTTTTTGTTGACAAAAGAAGAAGAAGATACTAATTTTATTTTAAAGCTATCTTATATCCTCTTATTGAGTAAATTACAAATTAGTCTCCTTAAATTTCGAAAAATGAATTCCTTCTTGTTTCAAAAATTAATTATCTATCTCTAATTTTTATTTTTTCTTATAGCTTACATTTTTGTTCTTTTTAATTTTTTTTTAAATTTTTTTAAAACATAAAAAATAAAAAATATGAAAAGATTGATGAGAAAAGAATCTAATTTTATAAAATAAAATAATATCAAGTTAAATGTGATTAACATTGATTAAATGAATAAATAATTAGTTTTTAAAAAGGATTAATTCATTTGTTTCTAAAAAATAGTAAAACTAATTTATAATTTACTCCCTTTTACTAGAATAAAACAGTTTTTATGGAATTAAGGTATAAGTTTGTGCGAATTTGTTTATACATTGCAGGCATTTTAGCACAAGTTTGATAGTATAAGTTTTATGAATTTACTTCTTTTCCATAAAAAAATGTACTTAAATTTAATGAGAAATCAACTCCAACACATATTATTTCCGAGCACATTAAACTTTAAAAATTTAGATCGTAAAATTTTGTGAGTTTTTAACGAGTGTGATGCCATAAATAACCAAAAAAACATCACGAATATTTAACAAAGACACTAATGTAATTAATATAACTTCTTGTGCTGCTTGTTACTATTTGTTTTCGTGAATTTGTTGAATAAATAATTTCTGGTATTTAATAGGCATGTTTGACTTTGAGAGCATTTTTGAAAAAAAAAACATATAAAATGATTTTCTGAATTTATATTTAATAATATCATGTATTTTTTAATTTACGTTTTATTTTTATTTTTTTTGATAAAAATACATTTTAATATTTCTTAAAAAGAAAAAGAGAAAAAAAAAAAAGAAAGAAGGAAAACACATTGGAATATATCAAGGAAGGCCAGGCCCAAATCGGACATGCATGGGCATGTCAAGCCTAAGTATTGGGGCCTAAACTTGAGCTCATGTATCAATTTTTTATTTTCCTATGTGTCCCTTCCGTTTATTTCCTCATTTCAGGATCGAGAATTGTTGTTGAATACTAAATGACCATCAATTCTTGATCAGAAGCTTAAACCTAACCGCTACGTTATTATTTTAATACTTTCTCTTCATTTTTTCTTAGTTTTACAAATAGTCCTTTAATAACGATTATTAAATTAAAAAATAAATAACAATACACAATAAATTAAAGTTAATTACAAAATAAATATTATGTTGTTTATATTCAATTTAGACTTAGTTTTCATTATCAAAAATTATATTTAGTTTTTGTTTATTTTCATATTATTTTAAGTTGTTAATTATTTGTAACTTTGCCTATACATGATGGGTGATTATTAAGTCAAAAACATTAAAAAAAATTACATATTAATTTGTGGTAACACTAACATCAAGATAAATGATCAGAATTTTTTTTTAAGAAACAAATCCCTCAAACTTTTTTTTTTTTTTTTTGAAAAAAAGAGATAGATCCTTAAAATTATAATAAAAAAGGACATGCATTTTACATGATAAGAAATGTTCGTCGATACAAAAGTTTAATATTAATTATTGAAGATTTAGCCCAATGTTGCAGTGATTAACTTCTATCAATTTATATTATACAAAAGTTATATATATATAACCAAATAAAATATGTAAATTTTTTTTAACTAGTTATTATTTAAAAAAAAATTGAGCCAAATTATTTTTTAAAAATAAGTCAAATTATATATATATATATATATTAGAAATTAATTATATCCGCACACATAATATCAATTATTTGTTATTTATTTTTCATGTTTTAAAATCTGTATTTTTAGATAAAATAATTTAATTAATGTTTGAAAGAAACTCTTAATTATTCAAATATAAATCTTTATACTAATATTATAAATTATTTTGTTAATAATTATATATAAATCAAACAAGTTTGCTTAATATATAAATTTGATTTACATTAATATTTAGAAACAAAACATCTACTCGTATCACATCATATAAATCATTAACTCTATGTATATAATGATTTTCTAACCACGAGCGTAGCGCGAGTATCTAACTAGTACTCACTCGATTGAGAATAAGATGTATTAGAAACAAGACTAATTAAAAAGACAAATTGAAAAGGATTAGTTGATTTATATTGAAAATAAAAGAAAAACATGAAGCAATCGGTATATTAAAAAGTGCATACAAAATATTTTCTTAATCACATTGTATATACTCAATTTTTTTAAAAAATTAATTTAGTAATTTAGCTAATTATATATATATATATATATATTAGTTTTGACGTGAGTTAAAGCTACAAAATGAATAAATTGGATTGATGATGTACCTTCCTTATTGCATGGCCTTAGGTTGTGAGAATAAACACGAATATTTTAGTCAAATTAGTGTCTATGACTTATTTTTGAGATGCATTAAAAAGATTTATTTAGTAAGTTCGAGGTAGGATCTACTAAAAGAAAACTCAATTGTTATTTTTTTTTAATCTTTACTTGCAAGTTTAAGTTGTTTAGCATAAAAGAATCTAATTCTTTTCAACTCAAATCTAATAGTCCAATTATAGATGATGTAATACACTTCTAGCGGTCATATCCATTTTTAATTTACTATAAATACCATCTTCACATCATTGTGATAAGAATTTTAACTTTCTCATTTTTAAGAAAACATCCGAACTCTCACTCTCTTAAAACCCTCATACTCACACATTAGATAGCATCCACATATCCATCACTTAACTTGTGTCTTACTAGCATTATTTGTTTCTCCTTTTATGCCTCTTATTACTTAAAACCGTTTTACTCGGTTGATGAATCACGTTGTTTTTTATAAATTACAACACTTAACTTTTTGTATTTTGATTGGTTTGTCGATCAGTCATTGAATCTGTTCTAAAAATCCTCCTCACATATGTTTACCTATATTATATATAAACAATGAGTTTAGATTAAAAAAATTATACGATAACAAATAATATTGCATATGAAAATAATACACACACATATATGTTATCTGAAATATTATTTGACATTTACTTATACTAGATATTTTGGTATGTTCATTGTTCAAGTGGTTGAAAAAACAATCTTAAAAAAAAAAAACTTAATGTAAATAATTTTAAAGAAACTTCTATGAAGAATATTAAAGATATCATTTTTTTTTCAATTATAAACATATCATATTGCAAATAGTTTATATTATTTGAAAAAAATCTTTAAAATGAACATACCAACTCGTTAATTAACAAACAAACTATTAGATTTCTTCATATTTGGCCACATTAGAAAATAATAATCTTGATAATAATAAATCACTCATAACTTAAAATCTTTTTATCTGTTAATATTTTTATTCCTATCTCTAGCTAGCTAAAAATAAAAATAAAAGGACCGAAAAAAGAAACTTCTTTAACAAATAATAATAATAAAAAAACATGATGGCATATTCTCAATCCATCTTAATTTTCTTTCTCCTTCTAATTTGTATCATGTTTTAAGTATTTTTTTCCCACTAAAATATATATAGTAAAAGAAGTTTTCTAAATCAAATGTCGAACGTGCACATGCCAAAATATCTAGTATATAATTTTTATTTCATCAATCAAGATTTGTTTCGTGTAATTCAAGCATAAAAAATAATGATATGTATGAAGCAAAAATAGGACTCAACATACATTATATAATATATTTTTTTATTTCATAATATCGATGTAGTATGGTGTTACAGCTTCACATGATAGCTCAACATCCAAAATTAAATAGAAATTCTAACATAAAATTTATTTTTGTCTGTACGAGAAATTTTATATCACTTTGAGAATTACTAATATGAAGAAAAACTTAACTATTAATACTTACTTCATAAGAGAGAAACAAACACAAAGAGTAGAAAAAAATAATTTTTTTTTTTAAATTTGAGCTTATATGAAAATCGTTTTATCATTTTTAATAGATCCATATATAATTCTGTCTCATATATATAGTTCTAACATTCACAAAAGATAATTTGCTTTTATGAATATAGGGCAGTGCTTAACTATGAGAAATTTTATAATACTTCATAAATAACTATAGAGTAAGTACTATAAAATTTCTTTTCCACGATAAAATTTCAGTATCTGCAACCATTTTGCAAGAAGTATAGAATTGTTAATTTAGAAGTTCTCTTTGTGAAATTGGAAACGGGTTGTTGAATTTAGAGTAAATTCTTGGCAAAGCTCCCTCAGAGGCTTGACAAGTAGAGCACTTCCACAGTAGAAGACACCTGCAAACCAAAACATCAAGAAATAAATTAACAAAAGACCATAGCAGAAAGCAAATCGTATAGCTGAAAAAGCCTAAAAGATTCATTATAGCTCTACACTCACCTATTCGAGAAGACTTATGTTTGTCTGCCATTTGAGTAAACACCTTTCTCCAGTTGGGCCTTGCAAAATGCGTTCTTATCTGTCACATTCTATTACATGTTAGGAAAAAAATTTAAGAGACAACGTAGTATTATATAGTTTAATGATGCAGTGGCCAATCAAAGTGATCCACACCCGACTTTGGGAGACAACATCAAGTCCATTCTTTGCATGCTGCAGTTTTTGTACCATGGCAATAAGTGCAGACCTTGCATCTCCTTCTTCATATACACTAGTCAAGAAGTTGTGCATTTCTATTATATTCTGATACATTCAAAAGTGTCCATAAAATTACTGGTTAGATTAGACTAACATTAATGAGGATGAAAATATGTAAAATATATGAGGATTTTTGAGCTGCCAAGTTTACCCCATCATCATAGTCTGCGATATCGTCCATGACACCCTTAAACCAATCGAAAGAGCTTTGTTCTCTTGTGACCCAGTAAAAGTATGCTCTTCCTGGACCCTTTTTATTAAGTGACCCCATTCGTTGGTTCTGTGAGCAATTATGTGTTAGAAAATAATATAAATCATATCTTATATCTTAGACTTCACGTGACAGCTTAAATTTTAGGATTGAAATAGTTTTTTAACATAGTATTAAAGTTTTAATGACCAAACAATTAGTGTTTTCACTTGAAAAGATATATTAGAAAATAATATAAATCATATCCTGAACGTCACCTAACCGTTTAATTTTTTGAGTTGAGATGGTGTTAGCCGAATTGATTTTCAACTTATTAGTCTAGCAATCTTATGAAACTGATATATGTTTGGTTCTTCGTAACGTACCCTCGTCGACTCTGCTGCATTTGGTTTGATGTTATTAAGGAGATCCTTCAAAATGCTGATAAATGGAGTCGCTCCGATTCCTAGACCTATGAGCAATAGTATGTCAAACTTTTTGTAATTCTGTGCTGGGGCTCCAAATGGTCCTTTGATCAGGATCTTTGGAAACCTGCCATAAGGAAAAACGGGCTATCATATTTCTAGTTTTTAGAAAATGTCAATTAGATTAGTAAAGACTTGATTTGCTCACGTTGCTTGTATCTCATCAAAGTTTGCGTTGGACATTGCTTTTGTTTCCAATCTCTGCAGCCTTTCCTTTTTTTGTTTCACAGCCGGGGGGCCTCGCAGACCTGCAAAATTTAACATTTTCTTTAAGTATATAATTTGCAGAAGAAGATGTCAGTAAATCGGGTTAATTTGCAAGAATATAGTGAAACACCAATTAAACCATGACCTTTGCAAATAAATTTTTGAGTTCTGTAGTCCAATCACCCACGGTTCTTATGTGGACACTCAGATTGTTATCTCCTGGTGCAGAAGTGATGGAAAAGGGATGCCTATAACAAACAAGAACTGAATTTTTTTATTAAATGGAACAGGAAGCATTCTAAATTGAAGCATTGAAGGTCAATTTGTTACCATTCAAAACTTGACAAATTCGGGCACTTGATGAAGAGGTACATTCCACTTTCGTACTTAAATCCTGGAGGTTTGCTCAAGTATAGAGCTAGAACATTCCCTGCATATATAATTGCCTGTAATGTCCAAAGTACATGAAGAGTTTTAAGAATTAATGTCATGGATGGGGAGAGCAAGTGATTGAGGAGAAGAAATCTCACTAATACAGACCTTCATGACATCAACCTGATGCTGGTGTTCCTGATATTTTGTCAAGACTCTCTCAGTGGCATAGAACAATACTGGGCCAATGAGATACATCCATGTCTGTGAAAAGTTAGATACTACAATTAGTTTCAGCAGCCGCATCAACCTATGTTCAGAAGAGGAGTTTTGTTGTCTTAAATTATTGCAAATGGTAGAGAAGGTTGTGCTTATTGAAGTAGCAAGCTGAGGATTGCACATACCGTTTTGGCATACCAAGGCTTTTCAAAGATTAAGAAGTGGCCATGCAGAAAGCATAGAACATATGCCAAGGCCAGCAAATGATGTGCATACCAAAAGGCATTAAACCCTGCCAATTTGTGAAATGTTCCCGGTAACCTAACGACATTCTTTCGGAAATAATGTGTGGCCAACGTAAATGAGAAACCCATTATGAGGATAATCAGAATTCCAGTTACGCCGACGTTGCTTCCTATGAAGAACCAATAATCTGGCTGTTGGTAATGGAACAATGGTCCAGCATATGCCATGAATTTGTCTCTTGGGCATGAAGTCAACAATGGAATATTACAAAGCACATGTGCCAGAGTATGAACTACAGTCCCAACGACTATGGCAAATGCCATGTAGGTGTGAAATTTTATGTTGTCATCGAAAGGGATAAAGGTGCCGAGAAACGTTGATCTAAGCCTAGTGAGTGTCCTTCTGCAAACAGGAAGAAGAATGAGAGCCATATTCAACTTGAGAGTCTCTGCGGAAGCCTTGGCAAGACAGACACAATAACCTGAGATTTTGAATAGGGATGATTTCTCGAATTCCTGAAATTTCCAAATAAAAAGTGCCAAGTTTACAGCTAACCACAACGTGATAACCCATATTCTCCTCCAGTTCTCATAAATAAATTCTAATGACAGGGACAAGAATTTGGTGGCAGGAGTCCGATATTTTCTTGGGATCATGGCTCTTGTGAGAGTCTGTGTTCTTCTATTGAGCTCCGGGGGAATTTGATCTTCATTATTCACCATTCCTCTTAGTAGAGTTTCTAGCTGCCATAGCTGCAAAACTAGAACAAGTAGAGTTTCTAATTGCCAGATTATCTCAAAATTTTAAACCAGAGTGTTTGCGTAAATACTAACCCCTATGTATCCGCGTTGATCAGGATCAAGTTCTTCCATGATTAGAGCTGCATAGACTGCCGCGTGCTGTTTAAGATTGGTGAGCTTGTTTGCAGATGCACTTAACACTATAACCTTTGGCATAACAGAAATCAGAAAATTGAAATATCATGATCAAGAGGAAGAACAAAGGAAAGAAAAACAATGATTAGGCACCAGGACAATATAGCCATGCACACCTCCTTCACTTCCTCCTCCGATAACCTCCCATCGCCATTCTTGTCGCACCTATGACATCATTACGTTAGCTTAATGTTAGACCATATTTTCCCAGTTTATACTTCACAGGTTGGGTTGTGTGTGTGGGGGGGTGGGTGGGGGGACGGTGTGTTCTTACATATCAAAAAATATTCCGAGTCGGGAATCCAGATCTTGTTTAGTCATGTCTTCCCAAAACAATTTTAGCTGATCTTTTGTTATCCCATTTGCGGTAAAAATATTCTTACGCCTGGCAATTGCGTCAAATATTTCTCCTGCAAACTCTTTTGAATCTCCTAGTCCTGCAAAACAGGAATCCAGTTTCAATTTGTATTTGTTTTCTTTGAAAAGATAGGAGAATGCGGATACCGCCAACAACAAAAGATCTCAAAAGCGTACCAACACATATTCCAAATTTTTCCTTAGGGAGCCTTTCATCAACTGCAAACTGATCGAAGCGCCTTTCGATGGATCTCCACGCATCCATTTCCTTTCCTGTCATTGTTCTATCAAGAAACCTCAGGCTTTTAAGCCCTCTTGCAGCAGATGATGCTGTCCTTTCCATCTTGGGGAGAGGAGGTTTTGCAGAGAGAATGCCACTCTTCTTCAAGGCACTGCTTGTAGTCCTTCTGAGGGATGCCCCAAGATTACTTGCACTCCTAATAAGTGATGCGTCATCATGTCCTTTGGGCGGTAAGGTGTTTTTTTGCTCTTCATTGATAGGAACTTCCACCATCCTATCAATTTCAATGCTATCCAGCATCCACCTTGTTGATTCTGTTCTGCTGCCCATTAACACTATTGGAGAATGTTGGTGGAGGGTGAGAAAACATAAAAGATATGCTGAAGATTGAGAAGGAGACAGAGAGAGGGGTTTTCGTTATACGAAATAGTCAAAATGGTGTGTAAGGATCGAAAGATCATGAAGGTAAAGTAGTTTATTATTTATTGGCCTAAAAATAGGAAGCAACAGGAACAACTAAAACTTACAGCCTGTAGGAATTTTCTAGTTATTATGATAAACCAGCTACTCGTTTCACCAAATTCTTGTAGTATTCTTTTCATTAAGCAGCACCACACCAGTCGGAGTGTGTTTTTGACCATTTCACAAATGCTTTTTATAGTAATCTGTCTAAATATTTTGGCATCCACCATTAAGCATTTCTTCTTTCAAGATTCTGATACTGCAAATAAAACAAGTTTTTTGTAGAGTTAAATGTCATATTCACCCTTGGAGTATTATGTTGGAAGGTGTTTCTTTTCTTTTCTTTTTCTTTTTTTTTTCCTCTGCAAAGAGGGAGCAACAATGGGAAATGCAGGCTGCAGTGCCAGGGAAAGACAGTTGCTGCATTAATATTATAGAGATAGAAATGTTCATATCAGCAGATTCTATTAACTTCTAAAAAACAATTGAACAGGCTTAATTAGCTATCAAGTTTTCAATATATTCAAGAAAAAATCAACCTTCTGTATTTTAACAGTTATGCCCCTGATAAAATCTTATTCAAACTCGCTTGAGATTTCAATTTACTCAAGAAAATAATCGGATCTTTAACTCTAGTAGTGTTTTTTTTCGTTTGTTTGTTTAAAGACACTCTTTCCGAGCGTACGAGCATAGGATCTTTCTACCCGGACCAAGTTTTCCGATCCAGTTCTACTGCTTCTACCCCTGAAGTTGATAAATTGCTTCGGTTGGTTTCAACATTTTGGAAGATCGCTGGGTGGTGGTAGAAGTGATTCATTAGGGCCTTTGCCATTGTCTACCAAGAATGCCATCTTAAGTCCCCAGGTGGTGTGCACCTCTAGATGGCAATGCATGAACCAAACTCCTACAAAGTCAAATAAGAAAAATTAAAGAACATCAATTCAAACAAATTTGAAACTGGAGATCCAACTGAAAACATTAAACAACAATTAGTTACCTGGATTGTCAGCACGAAATCTTATTGCAACCCATCCACCAGAAGGTACTCCAATTGTGTTCCGTTCAACAGGATCAACAAGGTTAAATTTCTTCGGATCTGTCTTTGGATTGTAATTCCCTACTCCCCTACCAACAGCAAAGAAATTGAATCCATGTAAATGGATTGGATGGTTCTCAGGGGATATAATCCCAGTATCTTGCATAACAAGCTGGACCGTCGAGTTGTAGCCCAACCTATAAACCTTAGTTCCAGTTGTGGTTTGTAAATTTGTGGGTGGAGTACCAGTGTAATTAAAAACATGCGGTGGATTTGCAGGAAAATCAGTGGTGAACACACCACTAGTGTTGAAGAAATGTGCTTGAAGCAGGGCGGTGGTTGGCATAACAAATGTGACATTGTTAATACTGGCAACAACCCTGCTACCATTACCAGCTTTGCAAGTTGGGCATGGGTTGATTCCTAGACCAACTGTAAAGAAAAGGTTGTGGTCGACAGTGGATGGAACATTGGCAGGGAAGTTTTTAGAGTTTAGGCTGCGTAGAGAATTAGTAAATTGGTTGGCAACTGCAGTGGCATTCATAGGAGGTGGGGTGGTAAGAGTTGTAGGGGAATTAGCAAGTGTGCCTGAATAGTGCAAAGTGGCCGTTGCGGTCATGTTATCCACTGCAATTGGAGCGTCCATGAATGGGGATGCTGCAACCAAGTACCTGCCAGTATTTTGGTTAGTTGTGACGAGGACGTTGGTGGTCTGGCCTGGGGCAATTAGGACTGCATCTGTTTTGAATGGTTTAACATAGGTGGCATCAACTTCCACAACAGTAAGCTTATGCCCTGCAATTTTGAAGAAGAGCTCTTCATTGAGGGCAGCATTGATCAGCCGTAGCATGTAAGTCTTGCTACTTTGGACTGGCAATGTGAAACCGCCTGCATGAATCCAAAACCAATTTCATAACAGCTTTTTAATATACTAAAACCTTGATTATCAGAACTTTATAAGTAAATTAAAAGACATGTTAGTCAAATACCCTGTGAAGAACAAGTTGAGACAGCTCCTGGATGTCCATTTATTGTGTGAGCATCAGAAACATTTGGAGCTAATCCAGATTTAAGAGCTTCATTGATCACAGCTTCAGTATCTGATTTCCACCACTCAGCTGCAATTTTTCACATTAATATCAAGTTGCATATTTAACAACCATGAACTTAAAACATTGAATTATGGCTGGAAACCACATTTTGCAAGTTTTGTAAGAGAATAATTACAATGCATCTTGCTTACCTAATACAACAACCACTTCTCTATGAGGAGCTGGGAATGGGTAGGGAACACCAAGCTTAGGCAACACAACCATGGCACCATGAACTGTGGACCTTAGCCAGAGAATATGTGCATGCCAAAGAAGTGTGCCCCTCTGGCCAGTGATTGTGAAATTGTAGACATAGCTTTGCCCTGGCTGAATGGGGCATTGCGTAATGTATGCTGGTCCATCAGCCCAACCCGTTCTTAATTGCCTAATTCCATGCCTGCCAAATACCAAGGAAAAACTACATCAGAATCATTCATGATTAACTAGAGTATAAATGTTGTAAAGGGTTTATTTTCTTATCTTACCAGTGGATAGACACATTATATTTGACATTGTTAACAACGCTTACAAGAACAGTATCGTCTTCCCTGGCATAAAGAGTTGGTCCTGGGAACTGGCCATTGACAGTAACAATCTGCTTGCTTGAGCATAGTCTGCTGGTATTTTTCATCACCACCTGTTTAATTAAATGTTGAGCCAGATTAAGCGCATTTCAGAGTTAAAAGGCTGTGACTAAATTGTATATGTTGTTAAAGTGGTTTTAAGTAATTATGTCACTATAGGTAGCTATGTAGTGTGGTAGTGATTTGAGATCTTACCATTCTTGACCTTTTATTTAATTATTTTCTCTGAATTTTGGTACTTAAATTATGTTAAACTTAAAAATTTCAACTCTAAGTTGGGCCAGTATTGACTATGTGCTTAACTAATTAATTTCCTTAAGTTTACTCCATGATTTTTCTTTTGGTCTTTCAATCATTAGGTTTGATTTTAATAGCGTTAAGTAAGCTAAGATCTATTTATTTTGTTTGAATGGATAGAGCAAAAACTATTGCCGATGATAGTTCAGTTAAGCATAACATTAACACGCAAGAAGAATTACTAGTTTAATTGTAATCTTAATTTGACTGTATTTATATTTTATTTCTGCTGCTATCTTACTGGGTTTTATTCCAAGTTTAACAATTTTAATGAATAAAAAATAAAAATAAAAATGATACCAAGAACTTTCTACATGCAATTATTTACTAATAGATCAAGATAAGAATAAACATAATGGAGGCAATATGACTGCCTTTTGAATCATGGACAAGTTAGACAAAAGCTATAGTTGCATGACTTGAAGCACAAGGCTGCGTAGCGAGAGGAATTTTATATTACTAAGAGAATAACTAACTGCTGTAAGTTATCTTATAAGAAAGACAATGGCACAAAGATAAGAGAGAATTTTTTTTGTTTTTTTAAATTGAGTTTTGGTGAATATTTTTTTTTTATCATTTTTTATGAATATAGATATAATTTTTTTTTTCTATTTCTCTTTTCAAATATGGTCCCATGAAATATTTTAAAATTTCTCCTATAATGACATTGCAGAAAGCATTATGCATAGTGCAAAAATATTTATATATCTTCAAATAATGAAACACATTTCAAAGAAAATTTTCTATGGGAATGACTAATTAATTAATAACGCTAAGCAGTTCACTCTTTTGTCACATGGAACCATCCATGCTAAAGCATCCAGGGTATACTTTATGCAGTATTTTTAATGTTATTTTTAATATAATTTTGTGTTTAAAATCTGTTTTTTCCCCTCTCTCTCATATTTACAGAGAGAAAAGAATTTTGTAACTGATTCTCTAGTAAAGTTTCGTCTACATAAGTTTAAAGACTTTTTAAGATGGTAGTAATTTTATTTTACCAGTACCATGCTGGCCAGTTTTTACCTATAATGATTTCATAAAAAAAAGTACTGCTTCAGCATTAAACTTACATTAAACTGATAACGCCGAACCCCGCACTCGACCAAAGCAGCAGGGAGGACAAAGACAGCAAGGAGCATAAATTGGAAACAAGAGTACCCCATGCTGCTGACTTTCTGATCTTTCTCTCGCAATCTCTCTGCTGCTATTGGTTTACTTCTTGCTTTCAAGCTTGTTGCATTCATCTGGGACTGCTTACCTCAACCTTATAAAGGGAATAATTAAGAAGGGAATTGCTGCCATGTCGTTTTTCTCAGTTAGGTTAGGTGGGTGAGTACATCCTTGGAAACCAAGAATTTGAAGCCTAATCTCGCTAGATTTCTTACATGCTACATAAAGTCTTGTTGTTCAAGAACCAACCTTTCTAATACCGTTATCGTTTATTCGGAACCAACCACTTTTTATGGAAGTTTGATTTCTTGCTAGGAAAATGCTAATTAAATGATTAAATTTGGCACCCACTTAGTAACATTAGTCTTGAAAACATCCTCTTGTCCTACTTTTTATTCTAGTAGATAGTAAGGTCCTAACGGATTATTGGTGAACAAAAGTATAAAAAATAAAATAAAACAGCATTTGGTCAATCCAGCATCAGATATTTCACCTTTAACTAATCACCATTTCATTGTTTTTTTTTGTTGCTCCTTTTCTTGTTCAGCTGACACTTTACGCTAGAAAATTTCTCTATGTGAGCCCCTCCATCCAACTTCTTTGTAATTTCATGCTAATTTTTGACATGCACGTTAGAAAAATACACATAATTAATAGCACATATCATGCCATATGTCAAGAATTAAC